TTCCATAAATAATAATTAGATACGTTGAGTATTCTTGCTTTTTAATGAACTAGGGTACCTTATACCGGAAACTACCTAGTGTTATGGGATACATACCAAAATACCAATGGAATTACTCTGGCCCCTCCAGTCATTCTAGATATAAAGTTCTATGAATAGGTTCTTATTAGGCTAACACATTAGTGGTTAAATAAGCATTTATGAAAAGATCAAATCATGAAAAGTTTGAAATACTCAACACTTTCTGCAAGTTATTTTTCAAATAACAGAACAACAAAAAACGAGAGGTGCCAAATTGGCTCCATCTGTCTTTCTAGTGCTTTTCTCCATTTATGTGTAAACATATAAATGGAGGATATATTATTTGTTAGAATTAAAAGGTATAAAATACTTTTTCGTTATTTCCCTTAAAATTTCCCTAAAAATTTTGAATGAAGGTAAATTTTTTGTATATTGATTAAGATTTTGTGTAATTAAGCAGCTCGTTTATACGAGAAAAAAACTAAGAATAAAGTTCTTTCTTCTTTAAAAGTAATTTAAACTTAAGAATGCACAACAAGAGTTTTTTTTAACACTATTATTGGTAAATTTTAAAAAATATATATCCATGCCATTTATTTTTGGGGAAGAAATTTCAAACCAAATTATATCGGCTGAATTAATGTTGGTTCATAGTGAAGATACAACTCATTTTTTTTAAATCTGCATCAAAATTTAAAAAAAAAGACTATTCTATATATAAATGAAATGAATATAAAGGGTATAACGTAATAATGGGACAAGCTGCCCATTTTTAAAAGATAATCTATTTACTTTGAACTGCCTCTTAGAATGAAAGATAAGTAAGATATCAGTTCATTTGAATTTTTCACAAAATGGCAGCAAAATACGAAAAAATATTTCATTTCTTACTTATAGATAGATATTGCGTAGATTTAAAAAAAAACGCCTTTTTGATAGTCTGGCTAGTTTATTGTATTGCCATATCTCTACATTCATTGGATTGGGGTAAAAAATTTCCAATAGTTCTGGTAGATACTGATGCGACATCAATGGAGAATTAGTTTAAATAATTCTTTTAACACTGCTGGCAACTCTTGTAATTGTAATATTCTAACTCTGGGTGGTTGCTAGGCAACCAAACTACTTTTTCTTGTTGTTAATGCTTTGTTTATCGTCTGTGTATGTCAGTGGAAATAAAAGAATAAGATCGCTGTAAAAGCTGACATTATGGTGTCAAAATTCTCAAGCTATCTTCGAACCAGGATTTGAGAGAAAAAAATTTACGTTCCTGCGTTTAAAGAGGTGAGAATTCATTTACTTAACTTCATTTTTATTTCCTTACATCTAATCAGAATGACTTAAACGCAAAATGATTCGGCAGACAAAATGGCACGATCGAACAGCAAACGTAAAACAATTCGAGCTAATATGGCTCGCTTCATTAGCCAACTAAAGGACACTTTAAATTCTACGTCGAATGCGGATATTGAATTTACTTGTAGTCGTGTTGCCGAAATACTTAATGGCATGAAATAGTGAATAATGATAAACACATTTTGGCGGGAGCGCCAAATCAGATTTTATAATTTTACAAATGTCGTTTATGGGTTTACGACTATTAACGTTCAACTCCGTAGCCTTGTAATTTTGAACACAATCCATAAGACAAGGGAACTCCAGGATCGAGTATTGGGAGAAATTTGCCTTCGTNCATTCATCTCTAGTAGGAAAATGGATCTTGAAGGGCTTGTGAAAAGCATATCTTAGTGACATAAAATCACTAGGCATAATAAAAGAGGATAAATCCTTCACTTGTGAAACAAGATGTCCCCATGACAAGTGTTTGGAATTCTCTTTCCATAGGTCAAGGAATTATGGGCTTACGACTACTAATGTTCAACTCCGTAGCCTTGTAATTTTGAACTAATCCAGAAGGCAAGGAAACTCTTGGATCAGTACCCCCAGAAGTATTGATTTGTTATGGGAACATGGAGAACTTTGCGAGTCGACCAATTTAACGTGCATCAGTCACCATTTACTACTCGGGGAGTCTTCGGCCGGCGGGGATCGAACCTACGAACTCCTGGACATGGGCCCAGTGCCCTACTAACGAGGCTATCCCGGCCTGGCTAATCGGATTAGTGAAAAATTGACTCCGTAAATCTCTTGGTCGGGCACTATTAGACGAAGAAAATCTATTCACTGCACTTGTAGGGATAGAAGCCGCCCTTAACAGCAGACCCCTTGTATATGAAGAGGGAGATGAAGACAACACGGAAGCCTTGGCACCGGCAAATTTCCTAACTGGTGGAAAATTAACAGCTATACCCATGAATCTGAATAACAATCTAAGACTTACGAAACTCTTCAAACAACAACAAGACGTGTTGGATATATTTTAGAAAAGATGGTCCAAAGAATATCTGCTGCAACTTCGCTCTTATCACCAAATTCGCAATATTGATAACTCCTTCAACATCTGTGCAGGAGATCTTGTGCTATTACAAGAAGACGTCAGATCCAGACACATGTGGAAGAAGGCCTATCTAATTAAGGGACATGCGTGTTAACTAAGGGACATGTGTGTTAAGGACTATCGAACATGTGTGTTAAGAGTGGATGGAAAGACTATAACTCGACCTATACAGCTGGTCATCCCTCTTGAGGTTGACCAGGGTGGGGAGGATGTTGCGACATCAATGGAAAGTTAGTTTAAATAATTCTTTTAACACTGCTGGCAACTCTTGTAATTGTAATATTCTAACTCTGGATGGTTGCTAGGCAACCAAACTACTTTTTTTGTTATTAATGCTTTTTTGTTTATCGTCTGTGTATGCCAGTGGAAACAAAAGAATAATATCGCTGTGAAAGCTAACAGATACTTTATACTTCTTTGGACAAGATTTGAACTTTTAACTTCAGGGAAAAGGAGGGCACTTTTGGACTGGAGGTATCTTTAAACGTCTTAAATTTCATCATTAAAATTAATTAAGCTGCTTAGATATAGGCGAAGACGCAGAATTGTTGATTTAACGAGAAGTTTTTGTTAAGGTTTGGCTATTTCCTTGTAACTAAATGCTGCACAAAGAGAATGGTGAGTGAAAGCATTCTTTTTAGGTGTTGAACCTAAAATTATGGAAAGAATGTTGTAAGTTTACAACCAAAATTACTTTATCTTTATTGCTTTAATTCACTAATTCTTATCTATTCTTATTCTATTAAATTGTTCAAATTCCTTCCTTTCTTTTCTTAATATTTAATTGAAAACCGTATTGTTTCATATTCATTTAATTAAAATGTTTAGCTATAGTGCAGTTATTTTTAGAAAATATTAAATTGGATGCAATTGGACATTTCTGAAGCATCCAGATATAAGCAGTAAATAATTAAAATGTGCCTAAATGCATTTCCTTTAAAATGCTTAAGCATAATTACATTAACACAATGGAAATGAAAAATGTAACAGGATATAAAATTGAAATGTAAGTATTGTGAAAATGTAAGTAAAATAAAATGCAAATGTAAGTAAATTAAAATATGAAAGTATGCAATTTAAAATGCAAATGTAAACATACAGATTAGAAATCTCAAATTAGTATTGGGGAGGAAAAAAATGAAATCACTATCGAAATATAACGAATCACAACTGAGGAAGACGGAACTGAAAGCCTCAAAATCTACCCGTGGAAACAAATGATGATTATAAGAAACATCTCTGAGTTTTCTAAGAGAGTCTTACGGGTTTTAGAGCTTTTCCACTAACCTTCCTCACTACTGATTCGACAAATTTTGATAGTGTTTTTGATTTTACCTTAATTCAATATTAATTTGCGACCCTTAATCAGTATACTTTTTCTCTACTTTCCTTTAAAAGAGCATAAGATTGCTCAGGTCAAGTTTTAATTGTTTTTACTGATAGTACCCAGTCATATCAACAATATTTTCCATAGAAAATAGGGTTGCATTCTACTATGAGAAGCTGAAAAGGTTAAAATCGTGACGGATCTACGATTTGACCTTTTTGCTCACTGGACCTCAACCGAGGAGTATTTTTATCCTTAAGGCACATGTAGTTTAACAATCACAAAATGAGTCCCCGTCCTCACTGAGAGCTTACCTCGTGATTGCTATACAGTAAAATGTTTAGTATTCAAGACACACGTGAATTCGGTTTGAAGGCCGCTGTCACTGATAAAATTAACGCAACACTTGAAAGATGCAGCAGTCACTGATGAAAATCGTGTAATGAACCCTGCGCTTTAATTAATAAATCTGATTGATCAGGGATGGCTCTGGAGATATAGCGTTCGCCTTCTAAAGAGGTGAACCGGGTACGAATCCCACCAATGACTGATAGATATGAATCCGCACCCGGCTTGCACCGACCGCAGTGCTGACGTGAAATATCCTCAGTGGTAGACGGATCACGGGTTAGAGTCCTTTTGCCGTCAGGCTATAATTGGGAGATTCTCGTGGTTTTCCTCTCCGTGTAACGCAAATGCGGGTTAGTTCCATCAAAAAGTCCTCCAAGAAGGCAAAATTTCTCCCAATACTTGAACCAGGATTTCCCTTGTCATCTGAATTTGGTTCAAAATTACAAGGCTACGGAGTTGAACATTAGAAGTCGTAAACCCAAAAATTGGGTAGGCTGTTCAATGACAGTCATAAAATAAAATAAATCAGATTGCACAATTTTTATTTATTTATTCGTTCTTCCGACAATGTTACAAGCAAGTTGTGACATTCTACTTTCATTGTTTTCAACTTCTCAGAGCGGAATGCGATCTCTTTTGTTCCGCGCTAGTTATCGCTCCACTAGAGGGCAACAATCACCACTTTTGTAAAAACAATCCTGGGATTTCAAACACCTTTGTGGTTGCATCATTATTATTTTGTCTGTATGTTTTCAATGCAAAAGAAAGTTTTGAATTGACCTAATAGTTTTCAAAATAATTTAAATTTAACTTCATAATAAATTGTGAAACTCATTTTTTTAGCTTAATACCATGGAAATACTGACGTAAAAGAACATAAAAAGCTCAAGTGTGAAAATGAAATTCGATAAGCGTTCTCTATGGATCCAGTGCACATGGATTGTTTCCTTCTTGACGGTAATCTAAACCATCATTGTATTATTATATTACATAGCAAACAAAATTTCTACTTATAAATTAACAATTTAAAATGAATTTTACACTTAAAAAATAAAGCATAGCTGCTATAAGTAAGTATAATATTTACAGAAATATCTATAAGAATAAAAAACGTATATAATACCTTAAATTTTAAATTAGTCATCTGTTCCCTTTAATTTAAATACTCGACAAGTCAAAAAAAATTTAATGTTTTTTTTTTTAATCGAAGACATCAAAGAAAAATGTTTGAGTAACATAAAAAAAATATATAATTTAAAACTTGTGTAAATGAGAAAAGTAGAGTTTTATTTTTGTTTAATTGATAAGCGCTGGAGTTAAATAAATAATAAGACTTCAAAACTTTAAATAGCGCTTTCTCAAAAAAATATTTTCCATATTAAGAAACAATACTTTTCTTCAATTCTCGATGGATTGTTAATGTAGTTTTAGTGTGTTTAGAGTCTTTGTTAAATGAATGATAAACTCAGTTATCTCAACATTTATTTACTCTAACCCAATAGCACTTAATCAAAAAAACTCTTAACTTGCCACGGAAACCACATTAGCACAAAATCTGTTAAAAAGTTGAAGAAATGGCCTTGCTTGTGATTATAAAAACACTAAAAATTCCCAAGAAATTGAAACGGTAAGAAACTACTTGATTAAAAAACTTAATTGACTTCAGTAATATGCAGATAGAAATAAAAGTCGACATGTTTCAAACTCTCAAAAATCGGCACTTGAAAATATGCGTTTATTTTTTAGAGACATCAAAACACTGTTACGAGTAAATAGAGAGATTTGCCAGTTTCATGTATCATCCTGCTCGCTTTCGTACGTTACATTTTGAAGTAACTGTGCATGGCCGCTATTAACGTTAAGGAGCTAAATAAAAAAAAATTGTAAAATACTTAAAAAGCATAAAGTCTTTAAACTTGTAAATTTTTTATCGAATCTTCTAAGTTTAAAAAGTTTTTCGCAACATTAACCCTCTCGCTACGTAACTCCCCCCCCCCTGTTTTATATAACGTTTTTAACCTTGTACATTTCGACAAAAAAATTAATAATAATAATAATAAATAGACTAAAAATGCAGTTTTAAAAAAAAAATCTGTAGCTATAGGATCAAAAATAATTTCAGATTGGAAATACCTACATCCGAGTTAGGCAATATAAACTGCACTTGTGTCAGAAATTAAGAGAATTTGCAGAGACTTGGTGGATTATCACTAGAACTACGGGATCGATTTTAATGAAATTCGATATGAACGTTCATTGATACAATACAAAACAGGCAATCAAGCAACAATTGTAATACGCATGCGCATGATCGTGCGTAACACTCTTTGGAGTCTGAAGGTATGAAACAGAGGTTGCAGAATAAGAAGAGAAAATGGGTTAATACGGGGTATGGTCCCCTCTTACAGATACTCGTATACAGGCTTTCAAGCGCGATTTCATACTTGAAATAAGGCAGTTTATCATTTCTTGTGACAATTGTCCTGAATTGTCCTGTGGCAATTGCATACCTTCAGACTGCAATGAGTGTTACTCACGATCTTGCGTGTATATTACAGTTGTTAAATGGTAATTTGTTTTGTATTGTATCAATGTATGTACAGATCAGATTTAATAAAAATTGGTCCAGTAGTTCTAGAGATAATCAATCAAGTCTGCAAAAACTCTTAATTTCTTACGCCAGTCTATTTTTATAAATGCAACAAAAAATTTGTTCCACAGTATGATCATTAATAAAGAAAATAAATGATGAAAAATAATGCACATTTTTAAAGTATGCTTGCAGCATTGACTGTCTTCAAACTTATTAATTTTACAATTTTAACACATGCAGTACTGAATGCTTAAAAAATAACATGCTTAACAGTGGCGGAAAATTTCATGACTAGGTAAACAACAAATTTTATGACAGATAACCACAGCTCTTGAACCAGCGGTGAACAGCAGGAGACCCATTTGGAACATTGCTCATATGGTGAACTCACTGGCGGAAGTAGACGTCTATTTGAACAAAGGAGCAAATGCGTTAGAATTCGATGTACAATTCAATTCGGATGGAGAGGCATTATACACACACCATGGATTTCCCTGCGATTTTTTTAGAAAATGGTGGATGTGGGAAAATATTGATGCATATCTTGACAAAATGCGGAATCTTACAACACCAGGTATGATATTATGTAAGCCATTCTTGAGGTTGAGCAAATTTTTAAGTATTTAAGTGAAATAAACAATCATATAACTTCTGATTAAGGTCCCGCAATGTGATCGTTAAGACACGGTTCCCAGAAAATCACCGAAGTCAAGCATCACTGGCTGCTGTCAGTGTGCGAGAGGGGGACCACTTGGATCAGTCTGCGTAGGGACCGAGGGTGTGCGGTATTGGTCCTCGTTAAACTGTTCTACCGTAAAGTGCTCGACTTCGCGTGCAGGTCGTCGGGCTACCGAAGCAGGGGAGCCATCCCCTCGGCAGAGGATCAAAATTATGATGGCATGTCTTCCGATCATCCTTAGGGATGTTTCCCAGACCGTCGCCAATAGCCAATTGTGCAGCTCTAGTGCGACGTAAATGAACTACAACTACAGCAACAACTTCTGATCAAGAAGAACTAAAATTTTCATGATAAATAAGGAACCAATGTACAATTATGATAAATATATTTAAATTAGGTAGGTACGTAGGTACTTCATTTGCGTCACACTAGAGCTGCACAATGGGTTATTGGCAACGGTCTGGGAAATATCCCAAAGGATGATCCTAAGACACGCCATCACAATTTTGATCCTCTGCCGAGGGGATAGCTCCCCCGATTTGGAAGCCAAATGACCTGCACGCGAAGTCGAGCACTTTACTGTAGAACAGTGTAACGAGAACAGATACCGCTCACCCTCGGTCCCTACGTAGGCTGATCAGAGTGGTCGCTTATTGACCGCAGACTGTGATGCTTGACTTTGGGTGTTCTACTGGGAACCGTGTCCTTACGATCAGTTCACTGCGGGACCATTACATACAAATTTTAAATTAAAAATGAATTGAATTACATACAAATTTCAATGATACAATCGAACATCATGTTCATTATATTTAAATAAGAATGCATAAAAGTCTTAAAGTTAATAATCTTCAAGTACCTAAGAAATTACAAGCTACGATGTTATAATGAAGTACCATCTTCATACATTAAAATAAATATGCATGCAAGTTTTGATGCTATAATAGAGCATTGCCTTTATATATTTAAATAAAAATACACATAAGTTTAGATTGAGAATAATATAAAAAATCACCAATACATAATATTGTAATTTGTTAGTCATTTTATTAAAATATATTTGTGATTATTCCGCATTAGTTCTTTACTTTAATATATTACAAAATGCTTATGTGACTATTATCTTAAAACAGTTAACAAAATACTTAATTTTTACTTTAGTATATTACAAAATACTCATGTGACTTTTACCTAAAAACAGATAACAAAATACTTGATTTTTTAATGAATTTTACAAAATTCTAGGTCATGAAGAATTCAGAAAGGAATTAGTTCTCCTGTTTCTGGATTTAAAAGTTGGAAAACTAACACCGCTATCTTTAAAACATGCAAGCAAAAGTTTAGCCAACAAGCTTAAAGACATATACTGGAAACGTGGTAATAAAATAACGTTCTCTTGCTCCTTATAGCATTCCTAATCTTTCTGTTTCGCAATATAAAAATAAAGGTAACTATAAATTCGTATAAGTTTATAATTACCTTTAGAAAAATCTATTTTTAAAATTTATTTATTTTTAAAATTATTTAATGAAATCTACCTTTCTTAAATATTTCTTACGTCGTACTATTATCTTTATATACTAAGATTAAATTTTCTTAAGATATCCTACCAGTTTCGACAACTTTTTTTTAAAAAATATTAATATAAAATTTAAAAAGACTAGTTTATTTGTTTTATTATGTGCACAAACTTATGAAACTGGAAAAAATTATCATTAATTTATTCTTTTTTTTAAATGGCCATTTTTAGGTAAATATAAGAAATTTTTTTTGCATGTACGCTAAATACCGTAAAACCACAGTTATTCCCTTGCACAAAAAAATGCTTGAAGCATAAACAAAAGTAAAAGATTTCTAGGCAGCTAAGAGTTCAGGAATTCAAAATTTTTTATAAACTAAATTTCGAAAATTTTGCCCAAAATCATGTTTTTGCACACCTTAACGAGTGAACTTGCTAAGCTTAAGCAATTTTATTTCTTTAAAAGTGAGTAAAATAGCAAAAAACCAATATTTTAATTTCGGCCATTTGATATAGCAAGTGCTTATAGAATTCTGAAAGTTACTTCGTTAATTCTTCATTTTTGCTAGAAAATAATTAGTCGATGATTTTGAAGGGAGATTTACCAACTGTGTCCTGACAAAATTTTGCAGCATAAGTTTTGTTACGATAACAAAGTGCAATCATGTTCTGATCAATCACTCAATCAATCTGTTCAATCACTCAATACGTCGAAGCTCCACTCCACAGTAATATACCCCAGTCAAAATTATTGATGGTCCCATCAAAATTTTTTGATGGTTTATGTTGGTTTCAGTGTGATTCATGATGGTCACCATCATCCAACATTTTCCATTGCATGTTCATGGTTTTTGATATGCCAACAAACTTTTATCATTCCATGATGGAAAATGATACTTTAATACTATGATGGTTAATCATCAAGAGAAGTTTAATTCTCATGATGATCCGTGAAGATTCATGATGGTTCCAACTGGACATTTCCTTGATGGCATAATGAGAATTCTTGTTGATTCTCAGCAATATACCATCAAAACAATTTAGTTTTTTTAATGTTAGACCATCATAAATCAATCCGAATTCCTACATTGGAATGATGGTGGTTCATGATCGTTCCAACATTTGATTTCTAAGATACAATGATGGAAATTCGTGATGGTTCAACGTGAACAAACCATCAAAGCAAGTTCTATTCTTATTTGAACCATCATAAATCAGTCCGAATTCCCACATTGAGATGATGATTGCCATCAAGATTATGTTGGTCCATCAATGGAAAACCATCAAAAATTTTGACTTTGCTACTAATTGCGTTCCACTAAACTATTTTTCAACAAAAAAAAAAACTCACAAAAATAATTCTAAATTGAAAGATAATTCAATTTTCAGTACGCTTTCTTTTATTGCAGGAAAGTCAGGAGCTCAAGCTTATCTTATGATAGCTTTACCATCTTTAAAGCAAATTGAATTTATAGGGAATTTCATGAGGACATTACAAGAAGATGATGCTTCGTTTTGTAGTGATAAAATTGGTAAAACTCAACTTGAAAATACATTTTTTAAATGTTCTCAGTGGTCTTTTACTCAATGTGAAAAATAAATTTGTTCTACGAAATAGATTTAATTAGTTAAAATAAAGGATTTTTTTTAAATAGGTTTTTTTTTAAAAACTGAATTTGTTGTCAAGCGCTTTTTATATTTCAAACCCGTTCATCAGTCGTGAGTTCATAAAATCTATTAATTGATCTTAATGGAATAGATTCAAAAGTTGAAGTTTTTTGAGAAGTCTCCATATCATAAAGATACCCATGTGTATTTGATATGTTTGTTTAAAGAATGGAACAACAAATTTTAATAAATCTTACCCATGCAGGAAAACAATAGCTTAATTTATTTCAATGTTGTATGATGTTTTTTTCTTCTTTTTTTGTAACTTTAGGCATGAAAAAAGAAAAATTAACATCGTAACATAATAACTTTATTCTCAATTTTAAGTAACATATGAATCACAAAAGCATATAGAACAGTGCTTGGACGTTTGATAATTTTACTGAGGCAAGCTGATAGAGGAGGGGGGAATGGATGTTGATTGTTTATATTTTAAGAGGTTTTGAATTAATAACTTTAATTCTATTTAAACACGTCTTCTAAACAAAATACATTTTCGTGCGTGGTATGAGTGCGGCTTTAGGAGAAGGACCTTAGTCTTAAGCTTATCACAGATTAAGTATTATCTCTGCTCCCAGTTAATCTTTAACCTATAGAAAGTAGCACAAACTCTAGAGAAATACACCATAGTAAATAAAATGGAAATAAATGTTCTTAGAGAGGACCGGTTTGCAGCTGGGGGTTGGGGACTACTGATCTAAGGGTCTAGAAAAAGTTTAGGAAAATATGAATGAAAAATAATTTTGTTCTTTGACTGAAGAATATATTTTTTATTAATTGATTTTCCCATTTATTAATTTGCCCATTCCACACTTACGTAAGTGATTTAATTGACAAGAATGGTTGATTCGAATTTTTGACAAAATACAAAGAATTAAATTGATAGAGAAATCGGCAATAAGTAGAGAATGTGGATGGATAACCATTGCCGGGAGAAGACGATGTGCCCTGGGCGATAACTGAAAACGGTGCCCTAAACTCAATTTCGAAAAAGAAATCTTTTCTTTGAATTGTCTTGCTGGTGTAGTCAAGACGCTTTATAGAAATCCTTTTTTTTATTTTAAATTATAATATTTCTATCAGAGAATTATAAAATCTATATCAATCCTAAAACATCTCAAGAATTAATACTTTAGAATTAGGTAATATTTTTAATGAGCATAATCTTTTATGATATACAAATATATTATTGTTGTAATTATCATTCAATATGTCGCCATTTTGTTAAAAATTATTTTGAAATTTCTTTTTTGTCGCCGACTGCCGTAAGCGAGTGTCAAGTGAGTGATATTTCTACTGCACACTCTTCAATCCCTTTTTAGTAATACTTTTATTTAAAGAAACTTAACCATACAAAAAGTTAACATACAAATATATAATTTATAAAATATAACCTTTAAATATATTTTGAAGCAAACAATACATTAAAAAAGGAAGAAATAAATAATTTAAAGAGCATTAAATCTGGGTCTTATTCGGTGACCCCTTACCCGGCGGTCAGGGCAATAGCCCGCCTTTGTCCGTCCCTTTCGCCGGCCTGTAGATAACACTTTAAAAGAGTCATCCACAAAACAAAACACTTGAAGTCATAGCATCTATGACTTATTAGTCTGCTAGGAATCGATGTGTCCGCGTTTTTAAATTATATACTTATTTTTTGTAATCTGAAACGTAGTCAACTTTTATTTTCTATTTCTATTCATTTTAAGGAACTGCTCAGTTTCTGATTTTTTTCTTCCCTTTTTTGATTGCTTTATTAAATATTTTTCAAACAAGATTGAGTGAGGTTTTGTGACACTAAATTAAAATCAAAGATATTCTCGAGATTGTTAGAATTTTACTGTCATTGTCATTTTAATGCACGGGAAATTAAGATAATTTCTCCTCAAAGGTTTTACGTTTTTTGGCAATGAAGATATCGAAACAATTAGTTCTGTATTGCACCATAGTCAAGTTTCTCATCGCATTTGGCAAGGAGATGGTATCACAAACTGGCTACCACGCTGCTACAGGAGACTTAAGAAACTTCTCAAGATGCGAAATGAAGAGAAAATTCAACATTTCTCTAAAGTGTATTGGTGGACTGTTGATAAGATGACCACAATGAGAGACATTTTGAGGTATGCACAGTTCCTGATTTTTATGCTCATTAATTGGCTTGTATTTCTTTCCTAACAGTCATTTTGTGTAGGTGGATTATAGCCAGAAAGATTACTAAGAGACATTTTTTGTTACAGCGGGAAGAAAGTGAATACCGTAAATAATTTATAAATTAACTATCGGATTTTCAAATGCTAAAACTAAATCTTAATGGTTTTCAGATATTAACTTTATATAAATATGCTAATTAATAAGAGCAGAAGATATCGGGCGTCACACAACCTGACATGATGTACTTTCTCTGAACAAACATACTTTTTTCTCGAAGGATTTAGATTCATGAATCAGAAAATATGGGGGCTGGCCATAATTTTGAAAATATGATTCTAATAGTTTAGGCATATGAGATCAGTGGAAAGTTTGAGTCCCTTAATATTAATTTCCCTATGTAATATCTAGGCATTTCGCTACGTAATGGATAGTTTTATGCAAATTGATAGCAAATTGAAAATTTTTTCTCACCTATATATAAAATTTGTTTTGCCAAAGATAACTCCTTGTAAATAATAATTCTTTATAGTTCTTTAATATTTTATGAAAACAGTGACGAAAAAAAAAAATTGATTGTGCAAATTTTTAAGTCATTAGATCTTAAAACACATATTGCCAAACTTGACTTAAATGCAGAATATCATTGTGTTTTTAAAATGGTATGAAGTAGACGAAATATTAGCTTATTCAGAAACCTAATCAATCTTCTATATTAGTCTAGGTGTAGATGCCATAACTACCAATTATCCAGACGAATTATCAGCTTTAATAAAAGAATTTCCAAAGTACATCAGGTTGGCAGACATTAATGACAATCCATGGGAGAAGCATCCTGGCAAAGGAATAATACCTATCAAGTCTAGTTCATCGAGTAAGTAATTCATTATTTGCCGAATTATTAAAATGAATTGATTAAATAATGCTAATATTTCTCCTAATTTATCAAATTTGCAATTGCTCGGAAATGATGCTTTTAGAAGAAATAAATAATTCTACTGCAGCTGTTAAGGGGATATCTGTAATTTAATAATAGAGCCATAATGTTGTCCCAGGCTGTGATGGAACAGTGTTTTAAAGCTCAAAGTCTCCACTTCTATTCCTGGTGGTGGTTTGAAGCCCAACCATCAGGATCAGAACGATGGGTACCAGCTTGCCGTTGAAGTAAAGGTGGCTGGCACGCAATCCTGACCATATTGCTGCCATCATGTAGTTGGTCTTACAGTTGTGGAGCCTTAATCTTCATGATCCTATGGCTGACAATTGGTCTTACTTTTAAAATGTTTAAACCATATAAGATTTAGGTAAATATTCCATTTTGGTCTGAAGTGTACTGAATAAGATTTGTTAAGCATAAATATTTTGTTTTAGAAAATAAAAATAAATGATGGAGGATTTCCCATAGCACAAATGTTTTTTAAACATAAAATAAGGATGGAGTAAATAGGAAGAAAAATAACAAGAATTAAAGTCTCGTCGAATCAAAACCTTAATGCAGGCCTTAACCAGGTAATCAAAACCTTAAACAGGGAGTCCTACCAAATACTTCAATAATCACATAATAGTAAATGATTATAAGGGTGGATAATTTACTCCAGCCGCTCTTCGTTAGTGACCTAATATTTAGGGCCAGTGGGTAACATAGTTTCAGCCTAGGCTAACAGAGTTTGACTAAAAATAGTAAGGGTGGCCTCTGTGGAACATCTTGTATATTAGGTTAGGTGGTTAAGGAATATAGTGTTAAAAAAATCACATATTAAAGGTGCTTATTTTAATTGGGGATAGTATTGTACCTTAGTGTAGCGAGAATTTCAACGAACCAATTGGCAACATTAACATTACTTTTATTCCTAATTATGATCTTAACCATCACAGTAAAAATTGACTTTCCAAGTTTCGAACTAATGTAGTTGGTGATAAACAAGAAAATTTTATCACTTAAAAGTAAATTATTCTTTTTATTCTATTTTCATTTTCTGACTATTGATTCATGAATCCATTCAATTGTGTTAAATTTGGAAATATTTTATTTTGAGAAAGTAATGATGGTTCATTTAAGTTGACTGCAATTTGATTCTAACTTTGTGACGATTGTATCTTGGAACAGCTAAGCATGTTATGTACATTATGACAAATTCTAAGGTATAAAAAATGCACGACTATATAATTAATATTTTTATCTTTTACTCGAAAAGTCGTGTAATCTGTTACAATCTTTTAAATACAGGAAATGTTATGTTCCTAGAGTTATAAGTTTCTTGTACTATTACTACATTTTCATTAACATATTTATGAATCCGAAAGCAGTGAATTTGCTTTATAATATACAACTGTAATGCGTGCGTTTTGATTCAGTTAAAACATTTTTTGTTTATGAAGCAGTTTATTTTGCTCCAAAACAAAATAAAATCCCTTAGTTTTAAAAACTTTTCTACTTCCTTATTAACGTTAATAAAAAGTTTCACTTACCGCTTACTTTCTCTTCTATATATTAATATGAACATCATTGAATCGGAACTACAACTTCTAGAGAAGGTGCCATGAATGTCCCCCATTCTCATTGCAATAAAATTTATAAGAAATTATGAACCCTAAATAATCGTGTTTATTTCGTTCAACGCGATTCTATACTGTTTGCAATAATTTTAAACTGAGAACTTTTATTTTTTTTGTACAACGCGTCTGCATCAACTTGCAATATTTCTTATTTTAGTGTTTTAAATAAAATGTTTGCTTGGGTGCATAAAGTTGGTTCAAATATATTTGTTCCAAGGAGTAGTATACAACTTATACTTTGACTGTACGATGCTGACAAATTTTGATTCGTTCGTGCTCAAAAAATATTACAGAAGAAAATGCAAGTTGTCTTTTGACTCTAAATCTTACTATAATTATCGAAGCTAATAAACAAGATACATTACTTGTCAACTCACCGCTTGCAGCAATCATCATTGAATGGAGACATAAACATTGAAGAAAATTTGTTGGTGCATTTATACAAATACTTCAACCTCGGAAGTGAGGATTTCAAAAACTCTTAAAGCTACATATTTGTTTAAAACGTTTTTAGTCTAGTTTGGTCAAAATGTACAAGTTTAAAAACGTTATAGATATCAGGTCAAGTAAATATTGCGATACACTTTTAGGGGAGTTAAGGCACATCATTAGGATTAAAATTGTATAGGAACCCATGTCCAGAAATGTCGTCGTACGCAGCTAGGGTCGCCTTCCCTATTATGACCCGATCAGAAGCACTCGAATTATAAGATCATAGTAATGAAGCACTCCTACCGGTTATGGCATTTCTGGGCATGGGTTCCTATGCAATTTCAATCCTGCTGATGAGTCCTTGGAAGTTTGTGGCAACATTTATGCAACCACCTGTTATATATAACGTTTTTAAACATATTCATTTCAACACAAAACAGATTAAAAAAAAAACTGTAGCTTAGTGGGAGAAACAGATAGCGGATTTGAAATTAGCGATACGAAGGTACTCAAAATCCGTTAAAAGCTCGTAAAACAGAAGAAAAAAAAATTGTTCCCCAGCATAATTCCCAATTTTTAAATCTGGAAATTCTGAGAATATGAACACACAAAGCTGCGTTTTACTAAAAGCTAACATTATTCATAGCAAACGATTTTAACCTCATACCAGTAGCAGGGAGGTTTCAGCTCGTTCCTTGAACCTTAATCAAACTGTAGTATCTAAAAGTGCATATATCAGTTAATCTAATGTTGTTTATATGAATAACTCTGATATTTAAAAAACATGTAAAAAAAATCCTGATTCTTAATTTAATTTTTTATAAATTTTAGGATTGATGGATAAATTTTGGCAAAGTGAAGAACTTTAAAGACATATTGGATGTTTTAGAAAATATGCTTAAATATCATGTAAAAAGCAAGGAGTAATAATTTATAATATACAAGACTCTACTGAAGGTAATCTGAAATACAACAAATTAAAATTCCATAACAAAAAGAATAAAAATGATAATATTTTGTAGGATGTATGATTTGAGCTATAGAAGAAAAAAATTGTTATGTCTTGCAATATTTTTTTGCTTTATGACAATTTTTTAAAGAAAAAAAAACTTAAAATATTAAAGCTTATTTTTACTTTGTTGTAACTTTGAATTAAATTAATCTCATACGCTATTTGTACAAATATCCAACAAATGCTTATAGTTCATCTCTCGCGTCCATTCAGATTTGCTACTGCTACTTTCCTGTTTTCTGCTCATGGGTTTGTAAGAAATTTTCAATCCTTATTATATATCCTATCTCCCTAAAAGCTAATCACAATACTTTTGAGACACCCTATATAATTTAGAAACTAAATTTTCAAGAAAAAAAGATACCCCTAAAACAACCAAATTTTACCGAAAATACTTATTTTAAAGTGTTTGAATTTAAAAATTCAGCATGGCTTACAAGTGACATTTCAGAGATTGTTAATGCATTACTTCAAATAAATAAAACAAGAGACATTAATAAAAAATAATAAAATACTTTATTATACATCAGTAACAGGTTGAAAAATTTCAATTCCACTACTAGCATCAGCAAACACTTGCAACATTTCTTTCTCAACAGGATGAAGATCACCACAGATTATTAATGAATGCAATGGAGGACCCAAGTCTAAAGAAGCCATTCTTTTCAATGAGGCGGCAACTATACTTTGGTCATCTGAACCTAACCTTGCAATACCAACACAAATAGTATTTTCTGTAAAAGCTGAAATTGAAATATAATAATTACTTTAACTCAGCATGAAATAGATAAATATTTATTTGTTTATTTACTAGAGATATGAGTTTAAGATTTGAAGACCTTCATAAATTTTTTTTTGCGAGATTTTTCAAGTAATATCAGTGATTGATCTAAAATTTTCATTTTATTTTTTATTAAGATATCATAAAATTAGTAAAAATTCCTTTAATTTTAAGAGTATTGATTCTGAAATAAAAGTTAATACACAGCAACATAAAATTATTTTCACTCCTACATCAAACTGATTGAAGAAAATAAAGCGGAATTAAGATTTTATTACAAAATTTCTTACACCATATACATATATACTTTCAATTCAGACAATTAAAAATACAGAAAAAACAAGAATTATTTACCTATATCACCATCTCCTTTATTTCTGCGATTTTCAATAATTTCTAGTAACTGTTGTGCTGCACAAGAAGCTGTCATAAATCTGGGTGGTTCATATATTTTCTTACCTCTGAGAATAATGTTAATTATAAAAGTGCCAATGATAAATTATAGCATACAAAATAATCAAAGTGCAAAATACTATTTAGGCAGTAGTCAGCCAATAGAAAACTTTGCAAATAAATTCTCTATGAATAACATGTTGGAAGTTAGGTTCCAATTTTGTGAAATTTAAAATTGTTGTCAAATAATTTGTTCATACTTTATTAAAAATACATATTTAAGTGAATAAATGAAAACATGAAATAATAATCAAATTTAAAATAAAGAAATCATTCACTGAAATTCTATTACAGAAGCATGTTAAAATTTTGTGCTATTTACAATAATGCAAACTATCACTGTAAAATAATTTGTTATTCAAAAAAAGTCTCTATGCATCTTCCTTTACAAAAGAAATTACTTTTAATTCAGAAAATAAAACTAAAAGGCAATAAATAAAGGTAAAAAAGGGAAATTTCACATTGAAATTTTCAGAGAAATGTGTTAAAACTAACTTTAACATTTTACATAATTGCAGTAAAATAATTTGTACACCTAAAAATGTTATCTATACATCATACTTAAATAAAACAAAAAATATTATATTTGTTTAAGAAAATTAAAGTCTATAATAATTAAACAGACATACAATTTCTTAATAAGAAACATGATACAAATAGGTTTCAAATTTGTAAAATTCTCAAAACACTGAGGTAAACTCATTTGTTAACTGAAGATATATATCATATTTTACTATGTTTCAGAGAAAAACAAACCCATGTAATAACAAACAATCTAATAAATAGCATATTTGTAGATCCGTTTTCTAATTTCCATTTAAAATTTTTGTTGTTGAATAAAATACGATACATAGATTTATATAGGCTTAAAGCAATAATCTAAGTTGAGTAATTTTCACAGAAATAGTTTACACGCTGTATAAAATAGTTTTTACATACAATTTTTTTGTAGCGGAATAAAAAAAAATGATGTTTAAAGAAATTTGCGCAGACCTATCCTCTCTAAGTTCCAGAATCCCTTAGTAGAATTTGGCATAAAAATGAGAGAAATTGATCCAGCTAACAATAATATTAAACAAACTTACTTAAAGGCAAAACTTAAAATTAATCATTAATCTTAAACCATAAAAGTACAATTTAGATGAGCTCAGCCAGATAGTCACTAGCATGGTTATTTAGCCAGTATGAGGCTGCATGATTAGCGACACCATTATTTTTAACTATAAAACCACAGCCCATTCTGCTTTTTTTCTCTCTCCTAAACATCAATATTCCCTGTGCTGAGAATTCTACTTTTGTCTGTATAAGCTTCCCGGCGTTGGCCAAACTATGAAGTAAAACCCCATTTAATATTTTTGTAATTGAAAGAATGTGTTCTAATCGGGCTGTCGAGAACCAGAAAATGCATCAACTCACAGTTAATCAGATTATCAATTCTTCATCCCCAGAGAGTTCTCTTCATAATAGATTCTTCCATTAGCCTAAGATCAATGTTTTGATTCTATATAATATTTGTATCACCCCAGTGCTAGTGATTTTATAACATTTAGTGCTGTTAATTAAAAAATAATTTCATTTATCATTCATCGTTATTTTCCTTGTGAACCAATAATTGTTAGTTTATAAGATATTTTCCACTCTGGATCTTAGTTTTTCATTAGTTAATCACAAATTTATAATGAATCGTAAAAATAAAAAAAATTGAAAGAACCAAACAATACATACAATATTCCTTAAATAATATGGTCATTTCAGAGAATTTAATTTTATAAGGCAAACTACAAAATTTGAATGAAATCAGTCAAATGGTTCCTTAAAAATTGAATTAAAAAAACATTTTTAAAATTCAACTTCTCAGGAGACGTTTAACTAATTTTGCTCAAATTTTGTGCTTTGTTATACAAAATTACATTATTTAAAAACATGTAAAAAATTTTACACCTTACAATTCAATTTTTTTAAAAATTTAATTGATTAAAATAATGAAAAGAATAATAAATATTTACTAAAAGTTTTTGCATGGAATTATATTTAGATCAATAAATTTTATAATTGTGAGCAAAAATTTTCAATGTTTGACAAAACACACAGAAAATAAAATTAACATTAAGGGGTTTAAACTTTGAATCACTTTCCTGGCCAAACTATGGGGACCATATTTTCCACATTGAAGCAATCCCCCATTATTTAAGAGGTCAGAAATCCAAATACCTTGAAAAAGTAGGTGTTTTTTCCCAAAGACAAAATAAATTTTTGTGTCTGATTTTGTAATTTAAAATACACTCAGCACTAATTAATTAGTATATTTGATGTCATCTCCCCTAACTATAAAGGCTGAGTTCTAGAACATAAAGATCCAATCAGTAGATCAAAATAGGTTCAGGGTGGTCCTTTTTTGCACACTGTACATTTTTGTCATATTATTTCTTAAAATAATAACATAGATATTTATCTATAGCATATTAATTAAAAATATTATTTTTAACCACCTTGTTGCAATTATTCAATATGTAATTATAAATAAAATATAATTGTACTGATAATGGTAAAATATGAAAAAGAAACAATTTCTACTTACTTTATTAAGTTTTCTACAGATTGTTCTTTTATCTTTAAATCTATAATTATAAAATGGAAATTCAAAATCATTATATATAATAAGATTTGAATATTATGATTAATTTGGCATAATAAAAGTTTCCTGCAAACTTTTAGTAGCCATACACAAAAAGTAAATATCTTAAAATATATATTAGAAATTAAAATATTTTATTCTATTTCAGGGAGAAATATTTATTACAATATAAGTTGCATTCAGATTTAATTTTAAATGCTTTGAACAATAACATAAATACACAATTACAAAATAAATTGAAATTTTATTACTTTTTAAAATAAATATAATTTTCATACTTAGGGTCAGGCTGGGAAACTGTGAACATGTAGTATTTTCACTTTATAAGTTAAGATATTTAGTTATTTCTTTTTAAGAGATAGATACTGAGATTATGGCATAAATTTTTATTTTAGCTTTGGAAACTGATAACAAGTTCAATGTTTAAAAACTATTATTTTCAGGCTCATTGCAGATGATATGTAATTATAAACTGCTGCTATTAAAAACATTAATTTTAAATTGGCAAATATAAGTTTTTTATTCTGACTAAAAAATATATGTCAAAAAAAAATCTATATAAAAATTTAATTTTATTCGTTCAATTATTTAAAAAAAAATGTTTATAATGTTTTTTTTAGATAGATAATTGGGGTTGGGGGGGGGGAAGATATTTAATATTTTAACTTTGTGTAAAAACAAATCTATAATAGAACAAAGCTAACAGTTTTTCCTCTTTCGTATTTTATTATTCAACTACGGAGGAATAACCCTGATGAATATTATATTTAAAATCTTCTCTAATATAATATATAATAGGCTACTTCATGTGATAAAAGTTATTGGCAAATACCAATGCGGACTCTAAAGAGAAAGCTGTAATATTGATCAAATTAATGTATTAGGCGATGACTATACAAATTAATGCTAAAACTCATATGATCGGATATCTTGTTATAAATTGAACATATTAATTTATTCTTTCAATATACTTAATTATTCTTCCTAATTAATTATTCTTTATGAGGTAGCTGCTTTCAAACACGTAAGTACAACTTTGAGGGAAGTTTTCAGAATTTTACATATGATTACAACGAGAGACGTTAAAAAGTAAAAATTATCATTAAGTTTTTCGTATTATAGTTCGGAAAAATTTTACTAGGTAATGAGAAACAGCACTTATTTAATTTCAAAATTGAACTATAAATGAGTAATGCAATTAAAAAAAAACATAGAAAATTTGTGTTACCTAGTAAACATAGTGTGTGCAATCCATTACTTCTATTAATCTTAATCTTATCATAAAAACTTTCAGGTTTCCAGGAATCAGTCCAAAACACAATGGATATAGCTTCACCAAACCTGTACAGCTTAAAAGAATACATATATGTTAATATATATATAATTAAATATACAAATGCTTCATTAAAATCTACATTGAGTAATCAATTGAAAAAAAAAACTTAAAGGGCTCTTGTGCATGTATATGTGAACTATTAATAGTAAATAAACATATTCAACTTAAAAAATTTATTTACCTAATTTATAGTTATAATTTTTATTTTAAATTTGGAATTTTTTTTCCTTAAAATTGGTTGACAACAAAGGTCAAGAAGTTTTCATATGATGGCCCAAAAATTTACAAAAGGGTCTATTAAAAATAAGTTTCTAAAATTTAAAAAGCTTAATTCATTTTATATAATGTTTGCAATTTAAGTTTACATGAAGTTATTTACGAATTCTACACCATATTTAATTATTTGTGTATTTAAGAACAAAAATAGAACAAAAACTAACATATGCACCTTAAATGACTAATATTAATTCCATCATAATTAATTATCTAAAACATTTCAATAAAATAAAAATTTCATTTATATTAGAATATAAAAAGAAGTTTCTTTGATTGAAAATTAACAGATAATGATTAAAAAAAAAACTGATACAAAAAAGGTACCTGTAAGCCACAACATCCAATGGCATTCATAATAGAAGCATTATGAACAACTTTATATGGAATTCTTTTTTGAACTGCTCTCAAAATCATATCAGAATGAGTAGTAGCTCTATAAAAAGCAATATATCTATCTATATATAACACAAATCACAAAACATTTCTTTTTTTAAAACATGGATTTATCAAATATGGATTCATGGATGGTTTTTTAAAAAAAAACACGGATTCTCAATAATTCTTAAGTGTTTTTACATTTTAGTGTTTAAGTTTGAAAAGAAATAAAACTTAAATGTAAAAACAGTCAAATGCAAAAATACACTAAAATGTCTTTGTTTTTTTAAATAATATGCACAAAAAAAGAGAAAATAGAATTTAACTAAATTATTAAGCATAAAAAAGTTAAAAAAAAATATTGAAATTTAACAATTCATAACCTGGAAGAAAAAAAATAAGATGTGGTGTTCATATTGAAAATTTTCATCTGAATTTTTTACACAATAGTGCATATCTTATTTGATCAAATATCAGAACAATATAATATAAATTTTAGTTTTGAAGAAAAATAATAGTCAGCAAAATGAATATTTTAGGTTTAAAAAATATTTAGTTACTATTCACATAGATACCTTTCTCTCTCCTACTTAAAAGAAACAAAGAAACATAATTGAGAAAAATAATGTTAAAAAAAATATTGAAATTCAACACCAGAAAAAAAAAGATTAGATTTATGCTGAACATTTCTATTTGAATGGCAACCTAACAGCACATATTTGATTGAATCAAAATTTAAAAATAAACAATCGCCAGTGAAATAAATATTTTTGGCTTAAAAAATATTTAATTTATAAAACTTATTAATATTAATTTCAAATAGACATTTTTTTTCTTCATTTCTAACTTAAATGATCAATAGAAAATAATCCATTACATAATAAGTAATGACATCAAACATGGAGACTAAAATGTTCTGACTTCATATGAGTATTATCAACTCAAACATTCTGATTTCATACTTTCATTGCACAAAATTAGAAAGTGGCTTCGGTATAACTGAGCTTAGTTACAAATAATCCAGGGCTTCCCTAAAGATAATATAGAATTAATTCATAGAAACTAAATTCTTCATAAACACAATTAATTTAAAACTATTCTTTTCAATGCAAACACATAGAAGAATAAAAGTTTAATGTACATTGTCAAATAAACAGTAATTCAATTAAAATTAGGTACATCTTAGCATCGGATTATGTGTATTAATTTTAAAACTCATTTACAGTTATAGCATTGAAATTTATAACTTCAAAATTATGTCGCTTTATAAACGTGCTCAACTAGCTCCTCAGTTTCTAAATAATATCAACATTAAAAAAGGCACAATATGTCTACAGTTTTCAAAAACTTATTTTTATTTCAGTTATTATAACTTAAATATCTTCGATTTATCACCTAAATAATTATCACCTAAATAAATAAATGTATTTTTATTTCATATTTTTTTTACCCAGACTTTTTTGTTTAACTTTTTTTTTTGCAACAATATATGTTTTTAATGAAAGAATATTTTACAAGTTCAGATTAAGGATAAGTTATGGGGAGTGGGGGCAAGACATTGTATGATTTAATATAAATGAAATTTTTGTTAAATGAATGTTGACAGTGTTTTCATCATAGAAAAAAAATGGATGAGAATTTCTCACCCTTTCACAAAAACAGGGTGAGATTTAAAAAAGTTAAGTGAGATTTCTAAAAACTAAAAGAAACACAAAAACTCTTGAAAAAAAATCATTTCTTTAATTATAATACGTTTTTAACACCTTCTATTTTTTAAAGCATTGAATATTTTTGGTGCATCATCATAGAAGATTTTGCCTTTACAAGGCATTTGCCCATCTTACATAAGTGCATAAAAAATTTGAATGTCTTACATGAAGAAACCTTACCTACGGTAAACACGCGGTTGCAGAGAAATGTGTTCTGAAAGGGGTTCCGTGGTTGTGTTCTGTTGTTTGAAAAGGTTCTGAACAATAGGTACTGGTAAATAGGGAAGCTAGATAATGGGGCAGATGTTGAAAATAATGAAAGATCCAGGAAGAAAAGTGAAACGGATTTTATTCTAAATGGCGAAATTCGAAGCTTTTTCCAAAATGCAAGAAATTTGCGAATTTTGAAATTGATTTATAGAATGGGCAAATTTCTCGCAGTAATCAATTTTTAATGCGAGAAAAGAAAAAAATATGCGAGATTCTCGCATTCTCACGCTGTAGTGAAAACACTGGTTGATCTCAATATTTATTTTAGTCATAAAAATCAGAAATTACTTACCCAAAAGGATCACCAACAACTAAAAATGCAATATCTTCTTCAATAGCATTTGATAGAATTGAATCTGTAGAAGAAAAACAAAAAAAGCTTTATACAAAATTCAAATTTAATTTACATCATAAAATAATAAGGAAAAAATAAAACAGTAGCAGATATCACAACACTAAACCTCTTTAACAATAGTAATTATTAAAAAGATTATAAAAAAGTTAGACTTTCTGCAACAGAAACAACCATATTATAGAAATAGAAGTAGGTGCTCAATACGTCTTATTTCATCAAAATTTTTTGAGAGATGAACCACAGAAAATCAATGTTTTAAGCAGGTAACAACTTTTTGGAATTATTTTGGGAACTGAAATATGTTATTCTGGAATTTTCGTAATATTTTTTTTTTTTTTACTTGTAGTAAAAAACTTTTTTCAGAAAATTAAATTTTTGAAGCTTGTGGAAACATATATATATTTTTTAAACTGCAATTATCTCATTAGAATATTATATGTATACATTACAATATACATATATTTAGAATATCATATGTATACATTAATACACCATTGACTGAATTGTAATAATGCAGAGAATATAGCAAATAAAAAATGGATAATTTTTACAGAAATACAGCAAGCTTAGGACGAGACAATATTAATGTGTAATAACTATAGAAAATAATTACAGTTGTTGGAAATGGTTATACCATAAAAACAAACAAAAAAGATATGTAAATTGAGTAAAACTTTGTATGCTAATTGTAGAATTTCATCTAATGCAAGAGTGTCGGTTACTAGCAAGCCTCAATTGACAAGTTAAATTCAAAATTATCAAAACTTATTGCCTTCAATTTTTTCTGTATAAAAAAAATTAACAGTAAAAGCTAGTTTTATATCAAGCTTTTCTTCCCAGTCCCAGCTTTTTTTCATGTTAAACGATTTTCGCAATGATGCTACTAACTGCGTTATTATATTAAATTATAGTGTAATGTTAATACATAATCAACACAAGCGTGCAGATCTTTATTTAAAATTATCAACATACTCTATGTTCTTCTGTTGCAACCACACGAAGAGGGCCAGTTATTTTAAAAATCCTTATTATTTCTTGAATCCACTCAACTTTTCAAATTTTTATAGAACAGTTAATAAGCTACAGGGTTGTAACCTATTGAGGATCGGTTACAGGATTGTGTCACGCTTCTCTAAATATTTGTCATCGGGTATATAGCATCAAGAACACAAATGTCCGATTAAACATTATGAGATGTTAATAAATTTGATAAACAATGGCTATAATAGTGTATGAAAAAAATACCTTTAAAATAATTTTAAAGGATTTATAGTGAATTTTCCTTTAGCTTACCAGAATCTTGCTCAACCATTTCTCTGTCAGCAATTATTATTGGTTTTTCATAAAATTCCTCCTGAAAAATTGTTAAAGAAGTTAAGAAAATAAGGTTTAGTGGTTACAAATGGAATAAAGAATTACTAGTAGAGAAAATTAAATAAATATCAGATTTTATTTAATGCAGAAGAACAACCAAAACAAAGAAAAAATCATGTTACCCCTTTAACCCTTCATCTAAGACATTAAATATGAGTTACAAAAATTTTAATTTTTAGAATGTTTTGAAATTAGATTTAATTTTTTGGAAGAATGCAAAACATTTACAATAAAAGATATAAACAACTAACAAGTTTTTCTTTTCCTACTGTTAACATCGAAGTATAAGCTTCTAGATATACTCTTTTGGCATTTTTAACAATTTCCAATCCTTTTACAGTGATATCTTTTGCGTCACCCAAACCCAAACCAATTAAGTAAAGCATGATTGACCACCAAATACAAAAGTAAAAACTGATCAGTGAGTAATCAGCGATTATAATGGAAGTATTTGTGTAGTTATATCAGATTTGATAAGGTTTTTTTCAAAACATTTGCTGCAATTTTATGGGAAAAAATTTCTGTTACCGGAATATTGATTTGTTTACTAATAAAGATCAAATGGCACAGTTAAAGTGACGAGTTGCATAAAGAAAAATATTGGATAGAACAACGTAAAAAAATCATTTTATCCTTCAGCGTCATTGATTAAATATTATTTAAAAAAATAATCTGAATTTTAAATTATTACTTGCGAAAATATTAAAATATAAATATTAGTAGTAATTATAAAAGTGAAGTGAAAAAAGTCTCAAATTTTTCCCCTTTTAAGGTTTAAAAAATTTATTCTTTTTAAATTAATACAGTTTTATATCCATTAAATATTGCATTTTAAAGAACGTGTTTTGAAAATTCGGATCGAAAAGTTTCTCTCGTTATCAACTAAACTTCCCCCCTCCCATTTTAGTTTTTATTTACATCATACATGATTAATGATTAATCAGATTTACATTTACGTGAATGTTAAATTATTTGAAGCAAAATACTAATTTTGATTCTACTTCCTTTAACTCTTCATTACATTCTGATATATAAATATATTTACTGAATTTTTACAGTTCTTGTCAATCCTAGATTTTAAAAGGTTGAGTTTCATTAGATTTAATTACGAATACAATATACCAAATTATTATAATTTTTTTTTAAGTGTTTGTTTCTTTTCCTATTTTAGATGGTGTGCATTCCATGTATTGTTGCTCCTGTTCTTTTGTTTTTGTGGTACAGATTTATTCAACCTATTATGCTGAAATTTTGGAATCCTTGGGCTCCTAAAGCATCTATTCAAACGTCGCAGGCAGGAGAAAATAAAGACGCACCAAAAGCAGCATGTCCATTTTCAAAGACTCCTAAAGTATGTTTAGTTTCGAAATTGTTGTTTAAGTTTCATTAATATTTTAATCTTGTAAAAATTAATTCATATTGAAAGAAATTTAAATGCTGCTATATAACACGCATTTACGATATGAAATTGTGACCTGTTCTTAATTAAACTAACCAATATGAGCTTTGTTTTCAAAACTTTTGCAACTTTATATAAATATGCTCTCATATATATCTAGTAAAATTTTGAGTATTTTATACTATAGTTGTTTTCCACTATTTCAATTTATATTATGTTCGTTAAATAACTAACTATTAAATACTAAATAGCGATTCCAAAGTAGTTATAGCAGTACTTAGTTCTTTGCAACTCAAAAGGGTGTAAATACTATCTATATCACATACTAACTATATCACATCAACTATATCACAGGCAAAAAATTTATTTTTTATTTTTATTTAAATGGTTAAATAATAATTTATAAGTCAATTTTAGAAGAAAATAATGGTATTTATCAGTTGCAAGCGGCCATAAAAAACTTAGAGCCAGAGTACCTATCTTTGGTAACAGGAATATTTCTATATCCATGGTACCTGTTCAGGCCAACTGAAATTAGAAGGTCTAGATGGTAATTCTGAATAAATCAAAGTAAAGTTTATTGCAGTTTTCTGGAGTTGGATACAAGTTATATTGTTCTAATTCACTTTATTCCGGTATATTCTGATTAGTATTTGACTAGCTCTTACTGGAAGTCTTTGTAACTTGTTGGTTATTTTGATATTCATATGAAATTATTTCCTGTATACCTATTGTTATAATTCCTGTAGTACTTATTAACACAATCAATCAAACATGATCGGCATAATTATTCGTTTGGCTATTTTTCAAGATCATAGAAAATTTGAAATTTTTATGGGAATGTTTCTTAATCAGTATCTGTAAGCACAAGTGTCACTTTCCAGTTCTTTTACTTAGAGTAATTTTATATATAAATTGTATTTATGTTTGTTAGGAATTTGTTACGAATTTTACCCGTTGAATTTCTCTATCTTGGTTTTCTTCAGTTGTTTCTCCGTGTTGGCCGATTTTCTATTAAATTAGGCAAAATAGCGACTGATGAACAGATTGTATTCATAGTGAAATATATTTTTTTTTCAAAGCCAATACTGAAAAAAAAATCTTATCTTTCCAAAATTTCATTAAAGTTTTAGAATTTAAATAAAAGTGCTCTACTAGCTTTGAATTAACTATGTCTTTTCATAGTTAAGAATGTATTAAAATGCAATTTATATTCTAAATTTGTCATAATTTTTCTCGAAAACCTTAACATGAAATTTGTTTGTTTTTAAATTGGTTTATAATTTATAAATTTAAAAATATTATCTGATTATAATATTTTATTTTAAATTTGTTTATAATTTTCCTCTGGAACCTATTTGATTTTTGAGTCCTTCTATTTGAAAAAGGCTGCATATCCTTATTTTAAATCAATATTGTGTTGAAATTTTAAAAATATTATATTATGTATGTTTAAAACCTGTGGTTATTGACATTTTTGTTCGAGAAACAATAAAAAAATTATAATTTTTAACAGTAATATTTAGTTTCCTATGCCGTAAAAAAAAAAAACTAATCAGTTTATAGCTTTTATTCATGAATTCTTTTATCATGTGCAATATTTACATTCTGGTTTAACCAAACATGCATATTCACCATGACATAACGCTATTTTAAAAAACTGAATTTTATGTTGTATGATTTTTTAATTATGTTAGAAAGTCCACGTAAGCAAATTTACTTAGGAATCATAGAGTAGTTTATGACCAATAAAAAAATTTTTTTTAATCAAAACTTTAGAAAAAGTTATTAGCAAACTATGAGGAATTGAGCTAGTAATTCATATGGATTAAATGAAAATGAAAATTTTGTTATTGAAGAATTGCTTGAAATGAAATTTTTTTCCATTTTTGGATTACCAACCAGCTTATTCTGGGGAAAAAAATCTAATTTGAATGTCATAAAATTTAAATAGCTGTTAGCAATTGATACAATATTTTAGAATTTTTTTATTAAAAAAAAATTGTTTTCACAGTGAAAAAATCCCCCCCTCCCACACTTAACCCTCATTTTGCAACATAATATAATTCCCTAAAAATTCTATATAAATGTTACTAATCTCAATACATTTAGCCATGTCATCTTTCGTCTTCAGAAACTTTCTATCTAAACATTTAATGCATTTGTAACATTTGTAATTTTTGATGTTTTATGCTATAAAAAGATAATTTGCAAAAAAAAAAAAAAATTACTTTCTAAGGAATTTTTAAAAATTTGATGAAATTACTTATTTGCTAAATAAATTTCTTTTTTTTTTCTGTACTCTAATGATATTTAAATTAGGAAAAGGATTTTCACAAATTTAATGACAATCATTTCATATTATAATTTAATACAAAATCATGGAAAAATATTTTCAAAATTTTAGAGCTTCTCAAAAGAATTTTTACACTCATATTAAGGCTCAAAATTGACATGATGTAATAGTTCTAGACCACTAAAATTTGACTACAACTACCATAAAAAAATTTTCAGTGGCTCTGCAGATTTAAATTGACTTAATTAACCTTTTCCCACTAAAATATCTTAAACATGTTTACAGGCTAGTTTAAATATTTTCGAATTAATAATATATTTTCGTCACTAGTCTTTGGACCAGTAACTTTAGGATTAGGGAGAGAGGCGGCAAATTATAACTTTTTATATCCTATTCATTGGCTACAATTCTAAATAGTGCATTATAATTAGGGCTGCAAGTTTGTCGCGGGAAAAAAGACCCCAAATTCGAGGAAAAATCATGGAAAATTTTGAAAATTACACAAATTCTAAACATAAAAAAATTTATTATATAAATGATGCAAAAGACAAAAATTGCGCGAATAATAAAAAAAAGCTTAAAAATACACAACAAAAGTATTTCTTTGAATTTCAAGCAATATTAATATTTTTATTTAAATGAAGAGAATTTTGGTACAAAGTATTGTACATTGTCAGATTATTCTCATTTATCCTTCGTCTTTCATCACTTAATACATTTTTATACTTAGAAAACGATCTTTCTGCNAAATAATTGGGCTCAAATCATTAGTTTCAGTAGTTCACGATCTCACAAACAAAACTTCTTTTTAAAGAAGTTTTTATTTTCTATTTTGGTGATTCCAAGCAAAACCTGTTCAATATTTGAACTTATAATTCATTATTCAAACGCAGATTAACAGCAAGTTTGCTAACATTGATCACTAATAAGTGGCATAGCAAGGTCTTTGATTTTTATACAAAGTTAGATAACAGCGCCAGTTATTATGCACAATTACTGGATTTTTGTTAGGTAGCAAGGCAGTTCTTGTACTTATTATGACATAACTTTTGTGGGACATTATTAGGGTTGCAAGTTTGTCGCGGCGCGAATTTTCGCGACCGTTTCCACGAAATTTCAAGTTTTTTTCAAAAATTCGCGAATTTTTTTAAAATTACGCGATTTGAACGAAAGTTATTCAATTCGCGCGATTTAAATGAAAATTATTCACAATTTGAAGTTATTTCTTTCTGTTTTATCTTATCAATAAAAATATATTTGTAGTTATGTATTATTTTTCTGAAGTTTAAAAATTGATTATATTTTTTCAAAGCATACACAAAAATATCTATCAAAATGACATTAGAATTGGGTTAGGCTCTATACAAGCTCCTCGCTTTTGTATTGAAATTGAATACCATGAACTTTCAAAGTTGGTATGTGTATTTGCAGCGGCAAACATTCCCCTGAACAAGCTAGATAATTCTGCACTGAAGGGTTACCTGGAAAATTCCCTTAAAGATATTGGTGTCATTCCAAGCTCTAGCCACTTACGAAACCACTACCTGCCTAAGATTCACGATTTTCATAAAAATCAAGTTGCCGATATTTTAGCCTCTGCAGCTGGTGTAAGTATTGTGACGGATGAAACTACAGACTCTGAAGACAGATATGTATTAGACGTGTTAGCAGTTCCATTTGTGGACATACAAGATGATGGTTCTGACATTTCTTTATCTGCTTTTTTCTTAGAAAGCATACCACTGGAAAGTGTAAATTTTAAAACTGTTAGCGAAGCAGTTATCCAGTGATGTCAAAAGTACAAGCTTCGTTTTAATACCATTTCATCTTTCGTCACTGACAATGTGTCTTACATGAACAAAGCATGGGAAAAAAGTTTGAAAGCAGTTTTCTTGAATGCTGTTCACGTGACTTGCAATGCACATCTTTTAAATCTCCTAGGAGAAATATGGCAAAATCAATTTGAAAAAGTGAATTCTTTTATTGTGCATTTAAAGCGTGCATCCACAGCATGTCCTTCACGTAAGGGTCGATTTCGAGCCTTTTTAGTTGAAAAGGGCAAAAACGCCGCTCTACCACCGGTTCCCGTACTAACCAGATGGAATAGCTGGTTTAAGGCAGCTTTGTTTCACGTAAATTACTTAGCTGAATGTGCAGAGTTCTTCAATAAAGAGCAACAAAATAGCAGTAGTTCTTTGATCAGCACGATTTCCGAAGAATGTTGTAACGCAGAATTGAGTGAAGATTTAAGAGAGATTGAAAAATATGCATCTTTAATTTTGAATCTATTAAATTTATATGAAAAACAAAGAATAAGTTCGCATGTTATTTTTAATGAAATGTCTGATCTTGCTGAAGATTTAAAAAGCAAATCTGTAACCTGCCAGCACTTGAAATCTAAAAAAGCTTTAAAATCATGCCATGAAAAAATTCAGGCATACTTTTTTGAAGGCAATATTACAACACATAGATTTCGTCAACCAGCATCAAGCTTTTTTAAAGCATGCAGAGCTTTTGATCCTAGTCAATTCAAATACTTAGATGTTTTCCAAGAAGATGATAGTTCTTTTATTTTTAACTCTATCCCCATGTTTGAGGATGAAGAAGAGTTGAAGTATGAATTTAATGCTTACAAAGCGACAGTTAATGAACTACA